TGTTGCTATGGTCATCAATCTCATTAGATATACTCTGATGGCGTTGAAATCATTTAGGGATTTATAGGCAGAGACAGAAATGGGGCTTACGTTCACAAAGCTTTTCAGTCGGCTTTTTGCCAAGAAGGAAATGCGAATTCTGATGGTTGGTCTTGATGCGGCCGGTAAGACCACTATCCTCTACAAGCTCAAGCTTGGGGAGATCGTCACAACAATCCCTACCATCGGTGAGTTTTCTTTTTCCATTTTAGAAATTGAGTTATTGCATGATCTATCCTTGATCTATGTGCGTGTATATATACACACACAGATAGATCTATTTATAATTTGTTCTTTAAAAAAGAAAGTTCGTTGATATCTCTCATCACTGCATTTTATCTGGTTTATTACTATGACTCTACCATGGTAATTCTCATTCATATTGGGTTCACAATTTTCTTCTGCACAATAATATGCTTGGCTTGGTCGTTTGTAAACCTTATAAAATATTGAACATGTAACATTCTTCATCTGGATAATTTTTTACATAAAACCAATATATAGCTAATGCTGAAGTAAAGAGTCAATGTCACCTTGATTTAAGGAAGGAGGAATATATAGAGGCCTCTCATCACTGCATTCTATTTTCATATGGTCTGTGACTGTAGTATATACCATGGTTTTACGCATTCTTCGTGTTAGTTTCACAATTTCCTTCTGCTTAAGGACTCAGTCACTCTATGATATGAAATAGTAAACTTCATACATCTTATCAGAATATAACAAAGTTTAATTGAAGAGTCAATTAGCTGACTGTCACCTCGACTGAAATGTGTCCCCTGGTATCCTCTACTTTTTAGCACTTGTTCCAAAGAATATTGTAATTTAGCTCATGTCCTTTATTTGCAGGGTTTAACGTGGAGACTGTAGAATACAAAAACATCAGCTTCACTGTTTGGGATGTTGGTGGTCAAGACAAGGTTTGAACTTTTGTATGGATTATTCTCCTGCTAGAATGCAGGTTATTTTGTTAATCATTTCTAAAAGTTTTATTTATATTATGTCTAATTAATTTATGTTCTTAAATTCCTGTTCAACAGATCCGTCCCTTGTGGAGGCACTACTTCCAGAACACACAGGGTCTCATATTTGTTGTTGACAGCAACGATAGAGATCGAGTTGTTGAGGCCAGGGATGAATTGCATAGGATGTTGAATGAGGTATTACATACTACGTACTACCTAAGTTTGAGCACCTGTTTTTAATTGCTCATGATGCTGCTATCGCTTTCTTTTTTAGAGAGTACCGTTCCAATAGTTCACAATTTACTACATTTCTTTGCTAACTAACATTTGGTATCTCATTATTCACTTTATAGCATCTGTGATCATGTAAATGATTGTCTTTTGTAAATGATTTGTGTAATAGTAATTTGCACTTTTCACCCTTGGAGTTTCAATCCAGACACAGGACAAAAATTGATTACTAAGAATTCATGTGATTCCAGGATGAGCTACGAGATGCAGTTCTGCTTGTGTTTGCTAACAAACAAGATCTTCCTAATGCAATGAATGCTGCTGAGATCACTGATAAGCTGGGTCTCCACTCTCTCCGCCAGCGCCACTGGTAAGACTTTGTTATATTTATTCCAAATATAAAACTTTGCTTCTGTTATCTTGCCTACTCAGGTTCGAACTGCTTCATGATATCTTCAGGTACATCCAGAGCACTTGCGCCACCTCTGGAGAGGGGCTTTATGAGGGTTTGGATTGGCTCTCCAACAACATTGCTAACAAGGTAAATAATAACTTATTGGCCTAATCTACCAATGATTTAGAAACCTGCTTTGCAGGCAAAATCTTATTTTCACCAATCCTTTCTCTCTCTCTTTTTTTTTTTTTGCTATTACTGCCATCCCGTTGAGCTAGTATTTACATCTCTGTGCAGGCATAAGGATATGGAACAGTTGCTTCTGAGACTCGCAGTTCTGGATGCAGGGTGAATATTATCTAATTTTTTCATGGGGCAGCTTATAAGAGGTTATGGTTTTTCTGTTTACGGGAGCTTTTAGCAAACTATTTGTCATTATACTGTAATATCAGAATGGTTAGCCTTGGTTATTGTGTTTTGTCGGCTCTTTTTGGGGCTTTACGCGCTGTTCCTTTCTTTTGATTTCTAGCTGAAACTAGTTGATGTATCATTCCATGTTGGATTTGTCTCATAACCCATTCTTTTGTTGCTTCTGTTTCAATTTCATTGCATAACTATCACCTATTCAAATGTCAAGATGATCTTTTCTACTGGAGTAAATTTTTTCACGATCAATTTTTTCCAGGCAAGCTGGATAAGTCAATGATGACTGATGAATCTAAGCACGAATTAACCCACAAAAGTAGTTTTGAAAGACGTCGAACCCAATAAGAAAGATTCCCAATCTTTCATTAGCTTGCTCCAGATTGTAATATCTAATGCATTTAGTTATTTTATTTCTTTTAATACCCTTTACAGCTATGGTATGAATATCTGATTATGCTAATTGGTTGTGTTTTATCTTTGACGCTAAATAGTGCGAATGCATAAATAAAGTGAAACGATCTTCTTAATTTCTTATGTGAGGCCCAAAAAAAAACCCTCCAAAGTTGTAATTTCTGCAGCTTATAGGAGACTAGCTTGTTGGTGCTCAGAGACGGGAATCTCTGCTGGGGCTGTCCATGAATGGCCGTGTGGTTATGGGCAGAAGCATGGATGGACCTGCTCATATCTCTTTCCTGATTGCGAAACCAAAACACAAGACGGGCTGGCCTTGGAATTCCTTTGGTATCTTTTAAAGCAAGTTTTGGTATAAAAGAATATATAGAGCATCCTATTCCTGCCTGGCATTTTCATTGTTTCGTGTGGAGAATGATATTTTGACGTATGCCAATTTGCCAAACCAATCTTGGACACTCGCTCCCAAAACTCGTCGTGTGATGATTAGATGTATTAGAGAGAAATTACTACGAAACGTATTTTAAACCAGTATCCAACAGTTAATAGAGGTATATAGATTTAGAACTTGCATCAAATAGTTATTAGGAGTCAGTCACATTGTGTCGCTTTCATCACCACCAACTTGCATAATTTGCCAGTGATATTACCACAAAACTCTCTTCTAGCTTCTCCTATTTTGACAAGGAATAAGTTTTTAAAATTTTTTAGGACTTGTGGGGGTTGATTTCAACTTTTCCAAGCCTCAAGGGTGCTTGTTTTCCAGCATGGTGGGCTCCTTGTCCCATCTCTCCAAGCCAGGAAAGAAGTGCACTTGAAAATGATGCCACATAAGTACAATTTCTCCCCTCAAGTTGACGCCAATTGGTAACAATTTGTAATTATTTGGAGTCCTGTGATGTAAAATTTTATTACTCTGGAAAATTAGAATGGAGTGTGATGTTTCTTTTCACGCATCCCTTACGCAACGCTTTTACACTTTTCAAAGAAATGCATATTTGTCATTTTTTCTTTTCATTTTAATCCCTCCCCCGAATCCATCAAACATGAATAAAAATATATACAATTGAAAAGTTTGTCTCTAGTTTTGGATGAAGATATGTTCCACGAGTCTTTTTCTTTCCTAGTATAATGGTATGGGTGGGAATTTGAAATCTCTTGGTCGGAAATAGATGCTAGTTAGCATTAAGTTAAACTTATGTTAGCATGTCAGACAAGTAAATAAATGATGTAATTATTTATACATGGATCACTTTGATTGATTAGATATATTATTCTCTTCCATTACGAGGGATGAATCATGAACGTTGGAAACAACTTATAACAATTGTTGAATAAGTTATCTTTCATATTTAGTAAGCATGTAAGTTTCACGTTTGATGGAAACAAAATAATCACGATTCATCAGCAGGGATGATATTTTGAATAGAATATGGATCTCCATGGAAACCTATGAGAATCTTCTCTATAATTGTGGTTGACAATGCCTTTAACACATCAACTTCAGCGCCATTGCCTTCAGGTATTTGTTTCTTCCCTGCAACACACATTTCAATCCAATGGCCCATCCTTAATTTCCCTTTCTCCTTTTTTGGCCTTTTCTCATTCCTTTCCACCACTCTTAAAAGCCAAATAAAAAACCATTCAAAATTTATAATAAAAAAGAAACTCAAAGAGAAAAATTGTTTCCTCTGTGCTCAGTTTGATATCGATGCCTTCTAAAAACTTAGATTAAAAAATTACCAATTAAATAATCAATATAGTATACAAATTCAGGTCATACAACACCAGTTAAAATTGTAGCTGTAAATGACATTTATTCTTCCAATTAAATTTCAAATTCTCATATCACATACCAAAAAAACAAAGCCTAGACAGGGAAATATCTAAAATTGAACAGATATATGGACAAAATCCAAGGGCCCGAGATGGGTTTCCGAGGGTTGATGATAGCAGATATGTTGTGGAATCTTTACCATTCGGTTCGGTCATCTTTGTTTGTAGTCTTTATTTCCAGTTTCCACCCTGCTCATTTTTCTATTACCAATCACCATCTTGATCAAATTTCAATAATCGAAACTTCACGAAAACGACCATTACTTCTCATTTACATTTCATTTCCCTTGAATTTGAATTTGAATTTGCATTTGCATTTGAATTTCCCTCCTATATAACCAACACCCATCTCCGCTCTACTGATCTGCACACACATAATAACAAAACAATATAATAATTCGAAATGGCCCCAGAAGTTCCGCCGGCCGCCGCCGCGCTCTGCAGCTCCGACAGGGCCTACGTGACGTTCTTGGCCGGCAACGGCGACTACGTGAAAGGGGTGGCGGGTCTGGCCAAAGGGTTGCGGAAGGTGGCCACCGCCTACCCTCTCGTGGTGGCCGTACTGCCGGATGTTCCGCCGGAGCACCGCGAGATTTTAAAGTCTCAGGGGTGCATCATCCGAGAAATCGAGCCCATTTATCCTCCGGAGAATCAAATTCAGTTCGCCATGGCCTATTATGTCATCAACTACTCCAAGCTTCGCATTTGGAACGTAAGTCCCAAACCCAAACCTATAATATTAAAAAGCATTCAAACTTCTTCCACTCATTTGATTGAATTTAATTATGTGCCTTATCTGGTCCCATTTCACTCCTAAAAATTCTCTGAGTACACTCCAACTTCATATATAAATTGGGTGTGGGTGTGGGTGTGGGTGCAGTTTGTGGAGTACAAGAAGATGATATATTTGGATGGAGACATCCAAGTGTACGACAACATAGACCATCTTTTCGAGAAGCCAGATGGGCATTTCTACGCCGTGATGGACTGCTTCTGCGAGAAGACATGGAGCCACTCGGCCCAGTACAAGATCGGATACTGCCAGCAATGCCCCGACCGTGTGAAGTGGCCGTCCGGCTCCGGCTCCCCTCCACCGCTGTATTTCAACGCCGGCATGTTCGTGTTCGAGCCCAGCATTGAGACCTACGACTCCCTTCTCGCCACTCTGCGTGTAACCCCACCCACTCCTTTTGCCGAGCAAGTGAGCGTCGTGTAATTAATTAATTTCGTTCCCTTTAAATTTTAATTTTCCATTTTGGGAATTAATTAATTAATTTGTCTTTTTTTTTTTGCAGGATTTTCTGAATATGTTCTTCCAGAAGATATACAAACCTATTCCTCCCACGTACAACCTCGTTTTGGCCATGCTGTGGCGCCACCCCCACAACGTCGATGATGTCCATAAACTTAAAGTCGTCCATTACTGTGCTGCTGTAAGCTTTCTCTAATTCTATCTTTTCGAAAATTACACTAAATTATCACATCAATTCAATATGTACGTCTCAAAATTCACTTTAAAGATTTGCAATTTATGTCCATTTTGTAAAATTTTAAATCTAATACGTGTTTTTTTTTTCCTGGGTGCCATTAATTTTGTAATTCCCTCTTATTGTTTCCTTACTCACAATTTTATTTTCCCTTTTTGTTAGCCTTCTAAAAATGTATATTATATGAAAAATATTTAGGCGAGTAACACCCATCTCTAAATGACCACCCTTAAAAAAATAATAATAACTCACTATTATTATTATTTTCATTTAGTTATAAAAATTTAATAGTGAGCACTAAAATTTGGTGAACATAAGATAGGTCTTCATTAAACCAGTATTTTCTATTTTATAAACAAATAAATAATAAAATTTAGGTATTTAATGGTAGGTAGCCTTCCTATTATTAAAAAATTGACAGTTATTTATTATATTTTCTTTTAGAAAATACTTAAATAGGATAATAATCTATCTCTATATTAATTTTTATTTAGAAATACACAGGTCATTATTTTTATAAAAAAATTATAGTTTTTATATTTCTCTATTTTAATTGTGAAATATTTAAGGGTGGAGCTAAGTATTTTTTTTTTCTTTCAATTTTTCAATGACGAGTGCTCACTCGCATCAAGTATTTTTCATGAATAATTATTTAATTGAAACGACATTTTTTAGGGATCGAAACCATGGAGGTACACGGGGAAGGAAGCAAACATGGACCGAGACGACATCAAAATATTGGTGGCAAAATGGTGGGACATTTACAACGACACGTCGCTCGATTTAAAGTCTGAAAACGGCGTCGTTCAGGAGGGAGATGAGGCCCAGACTCTGCCAAAGTTGTCAATCATGGCCTCCATTCCTGAGCCCAACATTTCCTATGTCCCTGCACCTTCCGCTGCTTGATGATTATTCATCATACCCCCAATACCATACCATATCATTTGAATTTCCCTTTAAAAAAACTTTACAATTTTATATTTATACGCACTCTTGCTATTATACTTTCTTAATTAAGTGTATCTAATTAAACTGAAATTTCGACACCCATTGATATTATACTATATACATAGAAGACAAAAAAAAGAGGCTGATATAGTTTTTTTTTTTTTTTGGTTGTGATATGAATGTATTTAAATATTATGTCATATAGTTTTCAATAAATGAGAAGTAGTGTTCTCTGTTTATATTTCTTGTTCTTAGAATTTTATAAACGTCGACTTTTTTTTTAATAATTTCCATAAATTTCTGCCTTTTCTTTCTCTTCCAAAATATGTTGGGCCCATAAAGGCAGGTGCCCGGCCCAAATTAGAATGCTATACGAGCCACTCCAAAATATTAAGCCCAACCTAAAATCAGCCAGGCAATCCAATCAACCGACGGCACGGCAAGGATAACATTAATGAAAAAATAAAAACAAATACAAATTATGATGAACTATAATGTATCTTTTAAAATTAATTTATTCATTCAAACAATATTTATGAGGTTTTATGCACTTTCTCAAATCACCTATTGCCATTATATTTTATCGGGGTTTTTCACCAACTTAAAAAGAGTAAAAATGGAAAAAAAAATCAAGAGATTGTGAGTTGGATCCCTACTCCCACATGTTATAAAAAAAATAATAATAAATAAAGAGTTTAAAAATTCTAATCCATCAACTCAAATTTTAATAGTATCTTAGAAAACTTAATGTAAAATTAAATCTTTCATTTAATAATAAATTTTAGCTGTACCAACATAAATTTAACTCGACGGTAACTAACATTTGTTTATAATCTAAGGAATATATTTTTTCTATACGTTGAGGTGGGAAATCGAATTCACAATTCCTTAATTGAAAATATATACTAATTACAGCCCGTTACAATATTTCATTTCCAATCATGGTATTTGAAACAAAAAGAAAAAGAAAGTTTCACGTGTCTAATTAAAAATAAAAATAGTGAGAAAAAAAAGAAAACTATCGGCGATGATCCTGACGTACCTACCACCAGACGACAGTTGCAGGAGCGGGAATGGTACGCGCCTCCTGGTTCGTCCTCTGCCGAAAGTCAACCGTTGGTACTGACTGTAATTTCTAATTCCGATGAGATCTCGCGCAGCTCTCCCCATATTCTTTAACTGATGTTCTAAACGGTTCACCTCCGGATGTTTCAGCACTCTTCAATTTCAGGCCTTACGAGTTCGTCGCCAACAAGACCTAGCCGGCCGGATGGATCTCGGCGTCTCTTCAATCGGCCGGAATTCGGAAGCCCAAATATCTCATTTGGCCTTGGATATTGGAGGTGATTCTTAGTTCTTCGTTTTTTGTGATTCTGCCTCTGTTGATTTGGCCTGGATGATGTGTTTGGTTTGATCTTAAACTTGGATTGAATTCTTTTATTTTCTAGGGATGAGATAACTGATAAGTTTATGCATCTCTGCCGTTGCTTGGATTTACTTCTCTCTTATGAAGTTTTCTTATTCGACTTTCTTTTTACCTCTTGATTGTGATGGTTGATTTTTCTGGGCCTATTTGGAATAGTATGCCTGCACGAATACCCTTTACTCTTTTAATCTAAATCTTAGTATCGACCTCTGAGCACTAGAATGATTCTAGAGAACTTGATTTTTCGTCCAACTCTTTTCAACTAACTAATATTCCTTCTTTTCTGTTTGAGAGTGACGTGCTGACTGACCTTTTGTGGTCTTTCTGCCCCGTAGAGACTTGAGAAAGAGTAACTATGAATGATCCTCTGCATTTTATAATATCTACGTCAGTTATTTAACGATCCTGAAGTTGCAAATTACCCATGTGGGTGTTTCGTTTTTATCCCTTTCATGGCAGGCACTCTTGTTAAGTTGGTATATTTTTCTAGAAACAAGGAACTCTTGAAAAATGATGAAGTCCAGAGTTCTGCAAAAGTTAGTGAAAGAAACCATTCCATACTCCAAGGGAGGCTTCACTTTGCCAAGTTTGAAACAAGCAAAATTGACGACTGCATAGCATTTATTAACGGCAAGCAACCTGGTATACGGGCTTTTCTCTGTGCCCTTTACATCAATTGATCTTTTTTTTAGCTTAAACTTGTTTACTCAGTGTGTCCTGGTTGGATAAAAAATCTAAAAAGGAAGAGAAATTCCTATTCTTAGTATGATGTTTGCAGATGACCATCTGTTGTGGTTTACGAAGGGAAGATGTCCTTGACATATCGAAGGGTTCATTATTTACATTTATATATCTCTAGAGTCAACGTTCACCTAATACTATATCAACTCAATGTTATGTACAATTTAGAATGAACCTCTTGGCCCATAACACAATTAGAAGTATTGATATTATTACTTAGCTGTTTTTCCATTCAGTAGCCAAAAAGTTAAAAAATGAAGAAACATACAAACTGTGAAATGAACTTAATATGCTCCAAAATAGTCGGTACCTTTATTATTTTGACTGTTAAAGTCTTGTGTATGCTTCCTTCCAGACTCTTCGTCCCCCTTTTTGCCATTTTCTTCCCTTTTTGGTACTCTGCTGAAAACTGAACGTTAACCCAGGTTCCCAGCACCCCAAGGATCTTGACAGCGACAAAATCGTTGTAAAGGTGCCATTGAATCCATCTTTTTAACTCAAAGGAATAATTTACATTGTTCTATCTTGTATACTTTTGAAGCATGCAAGTTTATTCACTGGTAACTTTTGGTGAGAAGGCCACTGGTGGTGGAGCATATAAATTTGCAGACCTCTTCAAAGAAAAGCTTGACTTTTGTCTAAACAAGGAAGATGAAATGGATTGCCTCGTGGCTGGAGCAAATTTTCTTCTAAAGGTAGGACATACAACATATCATTTTGGTACGCAAAGAACCAATATACTTGAAATATTGTATAATGCAACACATATCATGTAATGTTGTGAAAATAAATCTCATTAATGCAGATAATAGAAAATAGAACTATATTTGAATTCTATGACACTTGGAAAATGCTCCTATTTGTGTTTCATTTTAGGCAGTCCACCAAGAAGCATTTACATACATAGGCGGTCAAAAGGAGTTTGTTCAGATTAACCAAACTGATCTGTACCCTTACCTTCTCGTCAACATTGGCTCTGGAGTCAGCATGATTAAGGTATGGTCATTATGGTATTCACTATATAGTTTTCTAGCCTTAGCATTTTCATGAGTACAGTTTCTTACACCTGCAATCTTTTATATTGCAATTAGTAGGTGGATGGAAATGGAAAATTTGAGCGGGTAAGTGGAACGAGCCTTGGTGGCGGGACCTTTTGGGGTTTGGGTAGGCTTTTGACAAAGTGCAACAGGTACTTCCTCATTCACTTGGTCGTTGAAATTGTTGTTGTTTTGGCAGATGGTTCGACATGATTAGAAAGCTCCGAACTCTACTAGTTTATTATTTTTTGTTCTTCCTATCAAATTGAACCCTTCATTTATATAATTTAACGCCTAGCAAACTTTTATAATTTATTTTCTTGCTTTAAAAGCCAAATTGTAAAATCTTTCAGTTTTGACGAATTGTTGGAGTTAAGTCACCAAGGAAATAATAGAGTGGTAGACATGCTTGTTGGCGATATATTTGGTGGAATAGATTATGCTAAGGTACTCACTGTTATCAATATCATATGATGATTCATCATGCACGATCAATGTTACTGCCTCCATTTCTAAACACCTCTTATAATATCGGGAATAGTCTTTCATTCATCAAGGAGGAGGATGTTTCCTTTTTAGATACAACTTTTCATCTTCTTCTGCCATTTAATGATTCAGGTTGGTCTTTCATCCACAGCCATTGCTTCTAGCTTTGGCAAGGCAATTTCAGCGAGCAAAATACTTGAAGACTACAAGCCCGAAGATCTTGCTCGCTCCCTCCTAAGATTGATTTCAAATAACATTGGACAGGTAAGTCACTGTGATGGAACTTCATTCACTTGTAAACTTCGGAAATATAAGACGTTCTCAATTTAATTCTCCTCAGATTGCCTATCTTACTGCACTTCGATTTGGACTCAAGCGGATATTTTTTGGAGGATTCTTCATACGCGGTCATTCTTACACTATGGACACCATATCTGTTGCTGTTCATTACTGGTAAAGATTTTGAATTTTCATATAAAAAGTTTATAGATGGAATTAATCATTTGTCTAATACATTAAATTCAATTACTTCTTGATTGAATTGAGTGAACGAAATAACTATGACTCCATCAAACAAATTAAATAGGGATAACACAAACATAGCAACTCCATTATATATTTTTGTTCTCATGGCAGTAGCTGACTATGTTTTTATTCCCTTCAATCCTCGGCTTTTCGAATACGATTTTCATTTTTCTCTTTCAGGTCGAAAGGCGAGGCTCAAGCAATGTTCTTGCGGTATGAAGGATTTCTTGGGGCCTTGGGTGCTTTTGCGAGCTACAACAAGCAGGGCCTTGATAACTTCATACAACTAATGCAGCAAGACCCGAAACATAAGCCGGAGTTTGATAGTACAGCATCTGAAGGGGAAGCCGATGAGTATGCAAGTATAGATTGTAGTGTCTACATAGATTAAGATTAGAGTTCATTTCGTTTCTTAGACTTGGCTTAGTGAAGTGCAGAAAATAAGACCATTTTTGGGTGGCGAACTTGGCACCCTGTTGATTCATAAAGTAAAACAAACTTTCTAGGACTCAAATTTAGCTGCCTATCTATCTAGCAAGGCTGATACCATAGGGGCTTTCATTCCATTAATCTCAAAGATTCCAAAGCTTTTGTTCTTACTCCTGCCCACTGTTTCCACTCCCCTGGTCTAGAAATTTCAGCCTAGTACATGACAGGTCCAGGACTTATATTGGGCATTTTTGTTGTTGAGTGTTTGATAATTGGGATTAGGGCTCAACAGAGCTGGCCATTTCATCAGAAAGTAGGTCAAGGGGCAGGTCCTAGAGGAGGTAGGAGAGTTGTTAAAAATCCACCACCAATAAATTTAAAATGGAAGACTACAAAATCATTGTCGTAATGATCATCAAAAGACAAAAAAAAAAAAAATAGGAAAGCAGGGGACAGAGCAGCCATTATAGGCCAAAGCCTTCTTGGAGAAAGATAAAGCAATAAAGATTTGAAGAAAAGGAAAATTGAGGAGCGCCGCAGGGCCTCGGCTTTGCTTTATGGTGGCAAATTGGAATTGCCACTCGAATCCCCATAATCTCCTCCTTTTCTTTTACACCAATACATATTAGATTTGAGACTACAATCCATTTTATCTTAAAAGTACAACTCCTCTCCCTTCAATCACTGTCCACGGCCCTTCCTACCTAAACCAACCGTTGAGGACGTTAAATTTTCACCTTCGTAGATGGACAATACTTCCCTACTGACCGAGCAGCATTTAGATACCGCGTAGCGGAATAAGAGAAAAGAAACTTTTTTCCTTTTCTAGAAAAACAATAGAACACCAGCAGTGGTTGCGTGTCATAACACAGCACAGCATTTAAAGAATGGATGATTGAGAGGTATTGCTCTTTTGAAAATGCTTTTAAGAAGTTGCCGTCTCAATGTGCCAAACTCTACCTTTATTCTTCTATCTCCAACCAATCTCCCAATTCTTCCATTCATTAAAATTTAATGCAAAAAAGAGGGGGAAAAAAACCCAAGGAATATCTTTAGCTGTGTGTGTCTTTAGGAAAAGAAAGTTGGTCCCTTTTTGACCTCTTTTCTGTCCCCAAATCGAAATCCTATACATAACCCTCTTTCATATGCAACATTGTTGCTTCTTCGTTGAGTAAACCCAAAATCTCTCCCTTCCCCTCCACTCAAAGCACCACCACCATAATAATAATACCAATCCCCAATCCCCAGTCCCCTAATCATCTTCCTTAATTTCTCACAATCCAACTTCCAAACCTCGTCGACATGTCGGAACAGCAGCAGCCGGGTTTGGTTTATCCCAACACCGCCGCCGCCCAACCTCCTCCTTCCCACCATTCCAACGGCTCCTTCGGTGCAGTCTTTATAGTTCTTGCCGTAATCGTTGTCGTGTCGGCTCTCGCTTGCTTTCTTGGCCGCCTCTGCAACCGGCGAGTTGAAAACCAGAAGCCCAAGCCGGAGAAGAAGACCCATGGCGGCGGCGGCGGTGGTCGCCCCAAAGGAAAAGAACTACCCAAACCTCACCCCAATAAAGATGGAGACATCGAATTTGGGTTTGATTTGAGAAACCCAAATGGGAAAGGCAAATTCCCTTCTGGTGGAAATGGAGGAAGCAAAGGCAAAGGTAATAATGGTAATAACGGCCATGGCCATGGTCATGGTAATGGCTTCAAACCCTTTGAAAATGGCAGTGACATGAGAAGCGAGATCAAGTATTCTGATCACCACGAAGCAGATTTCAATTTCAAAGCTGGTGGGCATGTTTGATGGTTCTTGTATAACTAAACTACAATATGGAACCAAGAAAAGGCCCTGTTCCTCTGTCAAATTATAGCTGCTGTGTGGATTTTTCTCTCTGTTCTTTCTTCACTTCTTTGTTCTTATCTAATTACAAGCCTCAATTCAATCACCAATCTGTGATAATATTCAGGGGATGCTCTTGAATTCTGGGTAGGAGTCTAAAACCAGTTTGAATTTTTTTTTTTCGATCGCATATCTTCAAGCTTACGGCAACTTCAAGTTAACAGATGTTTTTGTGTACTTTTGTGTTTAAAAGTGACCAAATAATTAGGTTTCGAATAAAACCGGGGAATACGAATCCCAGTGGTGGAAGTGGGGAACTCTAAAAGCAGATCCAAAACAATTGTTTCAATTTTGGATTTGTTTAATGCCCAAATTAATCAAATCTCATTTCATCAATTTGATCTTATCCAAGTTTCCAACCTAACTGTCAAATCGAACATAGTTCACGTGGTTAAAGCACCTATCTCTGATTAATAGATCATGAGTTCGAGCCAAAATAATATTATGGCTTAATTTTGGTTGGGTTCGTAACCTAACAAAAATTAATTGGATTATATAAATATAAAAYGGAAACAATTTAGTTGGATATTATCATAACATCTAATCCAACTCAAATCACAAACATCTTTAATGTCATCAATATGAATTGAGAATTTAAAATTACGACCTTTTAGGCCATGTACGTGCTTTAATCATTCAAATATTGCTTTTACTTTATTTTTATTAACAAGATATTTCTAATTTTTCACTTTGATTTCCAATTTCCACCGCATTACGATTATGTTCTACCAGTTTTTGTTAGAATATTGCAAAAATATTTTTTTTTTCTCTGAAATTCAGATAAACTCATGAATTACAATGGCCCATCCAAGCTCACAGCCCAAGCCCAAGCCCACAAAAATCAGAGAGTAGTTCCCGTTCATTTTTCCGCCTGGCGCGTGCAAAATACGGAGGAAATATATATATATATATATATATGATATTCTTTTTTCTTGAAACAACGGAGGAAAAATATATATAGAAAATTTGTAACTATAAAAATTTGATTAAAAAATATTTTGGACCTAAAATAACGATTTAATTCTTAAAATTTTAGTTTGAATTTAATATATGTACTTTTAAATTGATAACAATTTTTTTTAAGATAACAATTTAATTTCTATAGGTTAAAGTTTAGGATGACTTAATTTATAAAAGTTTTGCAGTTATAAACTTTTTTATATAAGGTGAAGTTATTTTCATAAATATAAAATCTTCGAATTGTGTTACATGCTTTTTATTCGGGTCAATTTTTTTTTTGACAGAATTATTCGGTAATGAGTTTCAACATTTTTTTTTTGGATTATTTAATCTTAGGGTTAGTTTATGTAGTCTGTTGTTAGATTTAAGCCTTTTGTAATTTGATTTTGACTATTTTGTTGGTTGAATTTAGTGGGAATTGTTAATTATTTAGGGATAATTTTTTTCAATTCAAAAATGGGTAAAAACCCAAAAGATTTACTTATAAGTTAGTTGTATTTTTTTCATCTCCTCAAATTAGAAGTTAGTGTATTTATCTAGTCCATATAAGTTCATAAACTTTTAAAATTGCGTCTATTTAATTCCTGTGGAAACACTCGATTTTGTGTTTAATTTAAATGGGTTGTTCAAAAAATATAAGAGCTTGCCCAAAATCGGTCCATGGCATAGTCGTTCAACTGATACAAAAGCATTAAATTGATAAGATTAGCAATTTATTAGATAAAAAATTGAAAATTAAAAAAGTACACATAAACTTTATAACTTATAAAAATTAAATAAACACGACCTTTAAAGTAAGTTCAGGTAGCGGTTTGTACTTGCCTACTTCTGAGCCGGTATTTTTAATGGGTCAAAAATTCCAATGAGATGCATTTATGAACTATGTAGCAGAATGAGCAATAAACGCAAGCTAGTTATTAATGGCCGTTTTTGATTTCAGACAAACAAATCATTGAGCTTCTGTGGAAGTGCAGAGCACCGGCGTCGTACAGTTTCAAAATCAACGGTTGGAGTACGGTCCCAAGCATCCCCATTTTACATGCCGCTCCTTCTAAATCGAATTTGATTCTATTCAATTTTGTTTGCAATTGCAGCAGTTTTTGGTTATGGGTAGCTTTCATTTGAACGATTCGATTATGGGTTTCTGTTTTCTCTTCTTCTCACTCTCTGGTCACTGGTCAGTCAAAACTGTCCTTCTCTGCCATGCCTCTTTCTTCTTAAAGCAGCATCAGATTTCTGTTTTCGAAAACTGACTCTGATTTTTCCCTTTCCAAATCAAATGTTAGTTGCCCTTCAAATCTCCTCCTGTACTTCAAGGAGAACCCGTCGAAAGCCGTCGTTCAGAGCCAGAGACAATAATGAGAAGCTTCGAGCGAGCTCTGCAGTGTCTTAGGGCTCTGGTGGAGACCAAAGTGTGGGATTATTGCATTGTCTGGAAATCGAGGGATGATTCTTCCAGGTATTTGATTTGATTTCTTTTTTATCAAAATGATTTGGAGTTTGGAGTTTTAACGGAGAAACTGCTGTGTGTGCATGTGTAGGTTCATTGATTGGGTGGGTTGCTGCTGTAGCGGTGGAAACGCCGGCGCCGGCGCCGGGAAAGAGGAAGCCGGAGAGCCGAATCCGGCTGCTACCCTTTGCAAGGATTCTCAATTCCAACATTTTAGGAGTACAAACGCTTGCCAAGCACTTGCTCAGTTCCCTTCTTCGATACGATTGAATTCAGGGTAGCAAGAAAAGAAAACTGTTCATTGCTCTAGACTAAATATGATAATTAACGGCAACACAATTGCTAAGAACATTTCATCATATTCGGATTTTGTGGCAGGATTCATGGAGATGTTTTGATTTCGAACCAACCCATGTGGGTTACAAGTGCTGAAGTTTCTTCTACTTCAAGCTTTTCACTTGTGGGTTGTTTTATTTTCCTTCTCAATTTGGTTGCGTTTTAAAAGCCTGTGATGGGTCTGGTTGATTTCAAAGCAACTTAAAATTTCTTGGAAATGCCATCTTATTTGGCAGGAGTTGACTGGAACCCGAGTTCTAATTCCGATTTCTGCTGGGATTGTGGAGCTTTTTGCTACAAAACATGTAAGAAAGAAGAACCAAGAATAAGAACTACGAAAATCTTCTGTTCATATGATATAATATATCACTTTGGGTGAAATGTGTTTCAGATTCCGAGAGAGGGAGAGGTTATAGACTTTGTAGTGGCTCTCTGTAATTTCTCTCTGGAGCAAGAAGTTGATACAGAGAGTGAATTAGATGGTGGCCTCAAGGAGCAAAGTCTTCAGTCATCTCCCAAGTACTACTCAGTAAACTGGCCAGATTCTCAGCCCTTTGTAGATTTCAAATCCAAGCTTGAAATTCTTCCCTCTGTATCCCAGTCCAGCTCTTTTCCTAGCTGTGAAGGATCATCCAGTGCCTCAAAGCCTTCCAATGAGCACCAATACCTTGATTCCTATTCGAGTTTGGTTTCGCGTGAGTTCTTAAATCAACCAATTCGCAGGTCTTTCGGGTCGAAAAAGCCAATGCCCCAAGAAGACTTGCTGAAACAGCAAAGAGATGAGGTTTCGGGATATTCGAAGATCTTGGAGAAAGATGAAGCAAAAATTGGAGGGAGACAAGGAAAGGAAATTTACAAATCCAAGAACCTCATCACAGAGAGAAAGAGAAGAAACAAGATCAGGGATCGTCTCTACGCTCTACGTGCATTGGTTCCCAATATATCCAAGGTTCATATAAACTAACAAATACCATATCGAGAATTTGTTTAGATTTATTTATTGATCTTCTGTCTTTGATATGTTGACATCCTTAGATGGATAGAGCATCAATCATTGTGGATGCTATTAACTACATTAGGGAGTTGGAAGAGAATGCGAAAAGCCTCCAGAATGAACTCATTCAACTGGAGCATAAGGACTCTCAAAAGAACAAACAACATTTAAAGATTTCACCATTAGAGAGGAAAAACGATGACACGACATGTCGGTCTCTGGTTCAGCACGATCGGCCGACGCTTRTCCTTGGTGAGGAGAAGCCTTCGGAGGTAGGATATCAGGTGTCACCTCATCTTTACAGCTCCTTCCTAAAGAAGAAGCCTACCAATAAAACATATATAAGATGGAAAGAGTATGTTATTTCTTGTGTAATTGTATTTCCCCTATCAAAATGTCATCAGGTGGAAGTGGAAGTGATGCAGATTAATGAAAGAGATTTCATCATCAAGCTATTCTGCGTGAGGAAACAAGGCGGCGTTGTGAGGTCGATCGAGGCTATGGATTCACTGGGCTTGCAGGTTGTTGATGTCAATATTACCACCTTTGGGAGTATGGTCCTGAACATTTTCCATGTTGAGGTAAGCTTCATTTACGAATGATTACTGTGCTTAGGCAATATTTACCTCAGATTACTAGTCTAAAAGTTGGTTGAATCCCTCCCAAATTCTAGGTAAAAGAACCTTTTTTTACTGATTTGTTTCTTGTTCCATATATAGGCGAATGAAAATGACATTCAGCCAAAGAGATTGAGAGACTCACTGATCAAGCTAACAAGCAGAGAAATCAGACGAATAAAATAGGCTGCACAAAGGGAAAGTTTTTATAAGCTCAACTTGATGTTAACATCTTAGAAAGGGAGACTTGTTATTTCATCAAAATGAGCTATGGTAAATAACTTCTTTTATCGATTCTTTCTTCTGTGATGGAAACCGACATCATTATTTGGGGAAAGATATGTTTACAATACAATGCACGCATGGTATAATTGGTAGAAATGAGAAAAATGGATAGATAAAAAGAAACATATAAAAATAGTATACTGTCAAAAATTAAAAACGCAATACATATAATATAACCACCATAGCAATACCAAAAGTAGAATATCCCTCATCATCCTCTTTTAAATTAATGACATATGGTGTTTAATATAAAAATCCATATAACTATTTTTCACACCTCCTTAGTGTAGAGGGATGTATAAGTTTATGATAAAATAAGAATAACTAAGTCAAAAATGGGGAAAAAAAGGAAGAAGCTTTACACATTATTTACGCCTTGTTTCAGCATCATATTAGAATTGTCGACTGCCGAAGTGACTTTGTGGTGTGCTACTTTGTCCTTTAAAGGCTCGAGTTTCTTGTTCACCACTTGAGTTATCTTGGTATCTCCATGATTCTTGACTTGCAGTCATTTCTCTTGAATTGTATTCGCTACTATAAACGTCGAATTCGGAGCTGTCTCCACCGAGTGCCATTCTCCTGAATCTAGAAATGTCTTGACTGTATTGTCCAGAATCATAGATGGTACTCTGGCCAAATTTGACACCATTGGAGAGGTCGGACATGTCACTTTCAGTATCTAGTGCCCTCACCACCTGTTAATAAGAATGACAATTTAAGAACACGGTTATCCAAAATGCAGTTCAGAATAGAACTATGTTAACCTGAACCATGCGAGGCCGTTTGGGAGCCGAATGACGAACGCAGGCAGCTGCTGCTTCGATCATTCTGAACATTTCACTTTCCACGTAATGTTTTTCAAGTCGTGGATCTGTCAATTCGCCGAACTCCCCAGTTTCAAGGGCACGTATGAGGTGTGGACGAGCCTGCAACATCCATAACATAGAACATTGCTGAATCTATTCAAGTGCATCTCAAGGGAGCAGAAAGATCTTCAATACCACATGGCTCGACAAGAAATGTAACAGAAAATGCAGAGGAAATTTGAAAGGTTTGTACATTTATTTACGTACCCATTCGACCAAACTCTCATCCCCCAAAGGTTGAGAAGGATCAACAGGCTTACGACCAGTAATAAGCTCAAGAAGCACAACCCCAAACGAGAATACATCTGATCTGTCTGTCAATTTCCCACTTGATGCGTATTCAGGTGCCATGTATCTGCAAGCCATTGAAACACAAACGATCAATTTATATGGAACAAAAATGGCCCAAAGAATTGTTATGTGATGCGTAAATGTCGAGTTAACCTACCCAAATGTCCCCATGACACGAGTCGATACGTGGGTGTGTGTATCATTCGTCAGTTTCGCAAGTCCAAAATCTGCAACCTGTGTTTGAAGTTGTCCATCGAAATTGGAACCAGAGACTCTGGAAATAAGAAAATAGCATGTATGGTTTCGAAATTGTTAGAAAAAGTTGGTGTGGACGTACCTGTGCCTCAAAAGCATCATCCAGTAAAATGTTGGCTGACTTGATGTCTCTGTGGATAATCTTGGGATGACCTATGAAACAGGACAACAAAAGGAGATATGGAGTTAATGGAATATGTCGTCTTAGAAACATTGAAACAGACCAATTCTGCAAAACTTTTTTGAGTTTACTGATATGTACTCACAATCCTCATGCAGATATGCCAAACCCTTTGCAGCTCCCAAAGCAATTTTGAGTCTTTTAGACCAATCCAACACAGGGACTCCTTTACCTGCCCAGAGAAGTCAAATATTATCAACACCAACACCTCCTCATAAAGCTATTTTAAAGTGATGTTGGAGATCAATGATGGGTTCCATACTGCTATGGAGATGATGCTCAAGAGTCATATTAGGAACAAACTCATAGATGAGCAATCTATGATTCTCTGAGACGCAGTAGCCCACTAAAGACACCAAATGTCGATGATGAACACGACTGATAATCTCGACTTCGGCCTTGAATTCCCTCTCCCCCTGTCCACTTCCTGCCTTGAGTTGCTTCACAGCCACTGGCTTCCCTTCTGGAAGCCAACCCTTGAAAACACATCCAAACCCACCTTCCCCAAGAATGTTTTGACGCGAAAATCCAAACGTAATTTCCATCAACTCCTCATAGCTGAAGAAGAACTTAGCGGTGCTTATAACCCCCGACTCCACTCCACTGCCACTGTATACGGTTCCTTTTTGACTCCCAAAGCTGTTTCCAACAGGAGTATGCGGTACCTGAGTATAGAAGCCTTCTGGCGAACCAGAGTTGCCCATATGTTGATGGGGATAGTAATTTCCATCTGCAAGTAAGAAAATTAGCATCATCACCACATCAGAACCATATAACAAGTTTCTTTATATATTCAACAATGGGCTAATTTGGATAACTCCAGTACCTGATTTCACACAGAAGTTGTTAGGAGGCATGTAGGGGCCGGGATATAAATCTCCCCGTCTTTTCTTCTTCCTTGAGAAAACAAAAAGCACGGCAACCAAAATAATTAACAAAACTCCAGCTATTGCAGCACCTACCGCAACTTGAGTGTTACCAGATGAACCCGAGGGTGGTGTATGGGGCTCCCCTGTTGACGATTTCAATGGTTTTGAGTCGGAGGAAGGAGATGGGTTGTTTGGAGTAAGAGTGGGTGTGGGTGTGGTTGTGGTTGTGGTTGTGCTCGTGCCTGTGGCCGGGTCTG